TGGTAGCTATTGTTTTTGCATATATTTTATTAAACTTCATTACTGTCCTGCATATGAATTTAAATGCTACTGACATTTTTGTAATCGTTAGCTTTGAAAAATATGCTGTTCCTTAACTTTTGAAGGGCAATGTATATTGGCAAGATAAAAAAAAAGTTGAATAATTTTGAATAAAAAAGTTTATAGAAAAAGGTTTTGTTTACCCTGAATATTTCTTCTCCTCACTGAATTTTACATTGATAATAATCGTTATACCAATGATATCAGAAACAAGAAATCTCTACAGCTCAATAATACAATACTGTGATATTCGGCAGTACAAGTCTCGTAGGAAGTCTGTAATCTGTTGAAGTCCAAAGATGTTCCTAAAGATTTACGCTCAAAGTTTTGACTCAATAACAATTACAGATCAGTTTACAGCAAATGATCTAGATTTTTAACAGATGTTAGATAACTAGATGAGGTCTTATAAATATCATCAGTTGCTGAGAACAATTTTATGATTGAGAATTGGGATCAGCAAAGAGCGATTTTATTACTTAAAATCTAAGTTTACACCAAGAAAAATAAAATATTATTCTTTATGCACATGATTATGCAAGTTAGCATGAAAAATAAAAACAAAGTTGAAAATAAAATTCCTGTTTATTCCTTGTCATGTTATAAAATTAAAAATAAAATTCCTATTTATTCCTGGTTCTGTTTTTTCCAGTCTCCATTTACTATACTATTATACAATAAATAGAAAGCATAGGAGCCTTTAGTATTTGATTTAGGAGGTTTGTTTTCTACAAATGCATCTGTAGCATCAGATTATTAGCATAAAATACATAAACCATAACAACTGAAACTGATTCATTAAATTTTGTAGCACTAAATGTGCTTGATAATTATACATATGGGGCTATGAACTTGAATATGAAACCACAGTTTTTATGCAAATGAATATTACACATGAATTTGAAAAGTTACATCTTTATTTGCAATCTTCCTAAAAAGGTTATATTTTAAGATGGAAACAACCATATAATTTAAGATCATAAATTATTATATCAAAGCACTGACTCAATATATATGGTTTTGTAGTTCTTTATACTTTATAAGAATAAATATTAAATTATTTGTGAAAAGACTAAAACAAGAAGTGCAGATTAATAAAACAATAAATTCTAAGATTTGTCATGGCAAAAAAAAAAAAAAAAAAAAAAAAAAAAAAAATTATTAATGTTTTAAAGCATCCTTCCATAAAAATGACAGCAAAAGTTCATATATATCAGCATTTTCATGAAAAATATTTTGCAGTTTCACTTTATAAAAGAAAATTATTTCTTTTATATTTAACTACGATTCTTGTTTCAAAAGCAAAAATACCAGCATAAGCTCATGCAGATAAGAGCCTTTTAATTTAAGTTCTTACTTATATGCTCCCACCTATGGATTCTGTCCATCAGATCTATGATACTGCTAGACTGAAAGACAAACTGTATGCATGTGAATATCAAAAACAACTTAAACACTACAGCTGATTAAAGTTCTTTATGATTTAGATTTTATCAGGTAAAGTAGGTAATAGATCTAACTTGTGTATGATTTAAATTCATCTAAAAACTTAATTGCCATTAAAATTCTTCCATAAAAAAGGGAGTAATTTTATAACAGATTTCATGAAAACTGGACGATTCTTACAGACTTAATGTTGAAATTGTAAACAGGTTCATAACTTAGTTTGCAAGGAATTAAAAATATGCTTCCAGTCATGTACTGGTCAACACATCCAAGTAGCAGTTACAAAACTCGAATTCATTACTAGTGAGAGTTCAGTTGATTTTTGATGTCCAAAAATTCTAATGATTCTATGAAGCTGTAAAAACAAATACAAAAACAAAAATAAATGAAAACTTTTATTCAATATTTACAATTTACATATTTGTGCTGTAAAACATATTGGACTTTCACTATTGACCCTACATGGCAGTAAAAGGCACAATGTATTCTTAATTATATAAATATGCAAATGAATTGATCACCTGAAAAATAACATAAGTCATTTAAATATTTTATAATAATTAAGAAATAAATAAAAATGTATCATACTTTAGTTACACTTATATATTATCAAATTACATAATATGATTTGAAGCATATTACATAAACTGTAAAAACAAAAATGCTTTCTTGATAATTTTAGAAATATGTGAAAATTTACATAAGGATCTATTACCATAAATAAGTAATGTAAGTAAATTAAATGAATAAATTCTAATATACAGTTCATTTCATGAAAATTAGGGCAATTCATGCAACAGTCATTCACCAAATAATTTTATTCAGTCAAGCAATGGTCAGTGGTATGCATGAAGAACTTTTGACATAATAGTAGTATTCATTATATTCTAGAAACGGAAATCTAATTTAATTAATAATTTAAAATTTTCTGTCTAAATCATGTTAAAAGAATAATTTATTCAGATTTGAACATCTTAATAGACTAATTTAGAATTATATAGCCTTCAATAAAATATTATAAAACATAATTCATAAATTGATAGCTTTGCATTAACAATGCATATAGGATAGTCAGTAAATAGATAACAAAGGGCTGCATGAAATATTTATATAAAAATCAGTTTCATTTTTCAACACAGCTCCCATCTATATTGGGAGTCTTATCCCCATTACTAAAAAATGTCTCAACACCTGCTACATCCAAGTGTTTGAGTTGCTGCTTAAGCCACACATAAATGCTTAGTTACATGCACCACCAGTATGGGCATTAAAAGGAAACTTGTTTCAACTGCAAATGAAAATTACCTGAACTAAATTAAGGCTGAATGGAGGATCTTGTTGAAGTTGCCAGCTGAATTCTGCAACACTGTATTATCTATGCCACATGAGGCTTGCCATTGTCATAACTGAACAATATGCTGTGACTCAGAAGATATTTTCACTGAATTGCAGCAAGAAGATGAAGCTGCAACATAAATCACAATATGATGCAAAAGCCAAATTCATTCCTTGAAGTGGAATAGCATGAAAAAAACATATCAGATAGCTTCACTCCTCCAATATACACTCCTAAAGCATGACAGCCATTTTCACACTAGCATAATATGCCCTCAATTATCAGTGGTGCTGCTGACTGAGAAGTATGATTATGTTGCTACTTACTGACAGTATTTGAAACTACTCATATTTATTTCTTCTTATCCTACCGTATTTTATAACCTATTTACTGACCTTCCCTCATATAATAGGAATTTAGAAAATTAAAATAAATTATCCTTTTCAAAGTTATTTTTTATTAACAAAATGATTAAAGTAACTAGCACTAAGTATTCATAATTCCAACAATCCATTTATAATATATTACCATAATCCATTAAAAAAGTGTCATAGTCACATATTATACAAAGAGAAATTACTACATTTGGAAATTTAAAAATTAGCATTTCAAAGTAAAAGAAATTTAATGGATGAAATGTTTACAAAAGATTAGAGAAGATCCTCAGAATTCAAGTAAATGACTTTTAAATTTATGACAGATTGTATTTTTCAACTGCAAATGGCATATTTTTTATTTGAAAAAAAATTAAAGAGAAATGCAATGAACTATAAGTTCTAGATTATACAATAAAAAAGCGATAATAATTTGCTACTACATTAAAAGGTAAGGATGCAAAAGAAAACAGTCTACTTGTTTTCATTTTTTAACCCTTCGAGGGGCAGTATGCAAAATAATTTAAACTGAGGTAAAGTTTTGAATGAACTGTAACTTATAGACCCTTAGGACACAAAATTGAGACTTAAAAAAAAATCTAGAGTGAAATCCAGAATTTTGAGGACCGATATATATTTTATACCGGTGCCCCTCTACAACATTTTTTTCCCAGGTAGCTGCGAATTGTAAATATTTTTTTTCATCTATCTTTGTGAACTTTTGATATGCATCTATAGTGATGGGTGCTTGATTACATAAAGGCTTTAAACTTTTAAAATTTCGCTAGAAATTTAAAATTAGAAAATAAAATTTATGTTTTTTGCATTTTGATGATGCTACCCAGCTGAATATACTTATGTAAAATATACATAAAAAGGTTTTAAATGTAATTTAAATTCAATATTATTATTTTATGAAAAATTTTAGCAAATATGCATGAATTGCTACATGCAGAAACCGTATCATGCTGTAATTGAGCTAGTATAAGGTTACAAGGAGATGTTACTCAGGTGAAAAATTTTTTAAAAAATTAAAATGAAACACTAAATTCAGCTGAAAAATTATGTCACATTTTTGAAGTTATTATATTTTATGCTTTAGATCAGGGTTTCTTAAACTGTGGGGGGTGCCAAGCCCACCAAAAATTTTAGCAGTTTTGATATTTCTTTGAGTTATTATAATAATTTTACAATTATCAAATATTTTTACACAATATATCTGAAAATAGATGAAGATAAGACAATACAGACAAAGAAAAAAACGATAACGTTTTGACGCATTCTTTTTATAAAATAAACATTCATTTTCCCTGCTTTGCACATGATTTCGTCTGTTACTTATTTCAAATTTTCACATTGTTCTACGTCTAAAAATTAGAAATTAAAGTTAATGACCTAAAAACTGCCAATAGTAATTACCGTACAGTAGAAAATGACAGTTTCACTCAAAGTGGTGAATTTGTGCAATATTTATGGGGTCCCACAAAATTTTTGTAAATATTTTTGGGGTCCTGGGGGTAGCGAAAAAATCTCAGTGATAAAAAGGGGTTGTGACTGAAAAAATTTAAGAAACCCTGCTTTATAAATATATAAAAAGAGTATGCTTCATGCTATGATAGCAAGGATCGCCTCTCCCTCACACACACTTTCAATTATCAGGTCCGGTAAGAAGCCCTTTTTAATTTTTTGTAAATATAGGTTGTAATATATCATTTTGTTCAAGAAGAAAAGCTGTTAAATAATTTTATTATTTGATACACCTCAAAGCTCTTATTTCTATCAAAACTTTAAAAACTCAAATATTTGCACCCTTTTTTTTTTTCATTCCAAAGATAAATGTTTTGCATCTGCAACTGCTCTTAGAAATATTTCCTTCCTTTCACCAGCTGTGAAGACTAAACCACGTATTGTATCCTAACCCAGGGTAAAAAATTTTCTTGTATTCCCTAGCCTCTCATCTGAAATTAACAAAGCCCTAAAGTATAAAAGCATGCTTTTAAATCAGCAGCTTTTCCATTGCATTAAGAAATGGACCTAAAGTGCTTTTCAGTTCCCTGTACTTTTAGAGATTTCTTTTTCTGTGATGTTGTCACAGTCCCTTTGTGAAGAAAGCATGACCCCTGCGTGACAAATTAGTCGCCCGTCACCTCTTTTCATTTTCGCTGCATTTTAGGATTTTGGAAAACAGAAACAATGCGTGTGTTTGGGGGCAAACAATGCCACATTTAATCCCTACAATTGTGTAACATTTTCTGACGACAGACGAGTCTTTCTTGTGAGAAAGGGTGGAGTGCTGAAATAAAATTTTAGCTAAACAGAGACGAATGAGAAACCCGAGTGGTGTAAACAAAGAACAAAAAGAAACTAATATACTTGTAATTCAGTTCTAGGACAGGGTCAGTAAACTTCCCATACCCCCCCCCATGAACATAATACTGAATCCTAAACAACTTGTAAATTAATCATAAGCAAATTTTTACATCATAAACTATTATAATGTAAAGAAGTTCTGTCATCTCACACAGTAGAGAAGGAGAAGCCTGGTGCTGCCATCTATTGGCAAGGTACCCTCAGAAGGGGTGTCAGTATGTACTATATACCAATATTAAAAAAGTATATACATAATCTTTTAATTATCAATTTTGACTGAAAATCAATAAATATAAAAGGTTCAGCATGTGTGCATCATTAAGATTGTGAATTACTAGTAATTTATGAATATTCATTAATATTTTCACCTAAAAATTAGCATTTTTAGAGGTTAAAAAATTAACAAACATCTGGTATATATTATATACCAGCGCCCAACAAAGGGTTAAAGATATAAATATGCGGGTATTTTAGTAACACTTAAATATATATAAATGTAAATGCATTTTTCACTCTAACAAAATTTTTAATATTTTTTATTTAGTAAACAATGCAGTCTACTAGGGAGACATCTTAGTTTTTCAAACAAATGATTACAATACCAAATTTTAAATAAACAAATCATAAATGGAATACTAAAACTATTCAAAAAAATAATATTGATATTAAGAGTGATAATATAATGTGTGATATTAAGAGTGATAATATGTAATGTTTTTCATCTTCCTTACGACTTGACTTGCCATCATGCTGTTAATTGGTCAGCACTTCCAGCTAGCTCAGAAGATCAAGAGTTCAAGTCCTAGCAAGGGCACTGTTAATTTTTCATTATCACAACTTAAGACTTTCTACAAGTGGAATCCAAAGTAAAAGGTGGCGAATGATAATTAGCCACCACCAGGTTTGGAGATTGGGTCCCCAGCCTCTCCAGTCGCCTTTTAAGTGGAGGAGAACATAAGGTTTTTCTCTCTCTTTAGAGTGTGCCTCTGTGGTGTAAATGGAAAGCATATCTGCCTAGCTTGTAATGTCAGGAACTCGAATCCCGGTGAGGGCATAGCTTATTTTTCATGTTCCCACAGCTTTTTTTTTTTTTTTTTAAAAAGTGCATATTCTGTAGAAAAAAAAAAAAAAAAAAAAAAAAAAAAAAAAAAAAAAAAAAAAAAAAAAAAAAAAAAAAAATTATTAATATTAATTAATAATTAAATAAAAAAAAAATGATAGTGGTCATTGTGATTATTATGGCTTTTGATATCTTGGCAACTATTTTTGCACATCCCTGCAATAAATATCTTTAATTATTTTAGTTACAAATGCAAAGTAGATATGTTTAAGTACCTCGTTTTTTTCTTTTTTGAATAATTTGGGCTGGAAGTAACAGAACTAGAACTTTGCTTTGCTGTTGGACTGCAATAGAAATTTTAGTATTAAGACATAGTAATAACCAGTCAATAAGTTTTCAATTTTTATTAAGTACTTTAATATTTCCCTAACTTAATAAGATAGGTAGCAGACAACTGGGTTTCTCTTACAAATTCTTTAAAAAATAAAGATGAAATCAATAAAATTCCAAGGTACATTTGGCAAACAGAGGGCAACTTTAACTTAATTTCCACCAATGTCAAGTGTTGCCAGATTGTGTGATTTTTTTCATTTACTACTTTTAATAAACCTATGCTACTAAAATTTATGTATATGCGATTTTGTGAATTTTCTGTGCAAGAAAATGATGTATCCAAATTCAAAAAGTACAGCAACAACATTTCCTTGCACTACTTTTTGCTACTTTAAATTTTTTCTTAATATATCATAAAGTTCATCTATGTTAAAATATTGATTGTTGAAATTATTTATAATTAAAAGTAATAATTTATTTAGGCTTAAATTAAAGTTGGGTACTGGCAATCTTGCGATTGTAGCCAACGAGTGAATATACACTCAGTACCAACACTGGTAACTGGTATTTTTATGTGTTACATTGAGTACTTTGTTTAACATTTGGGTAATCCAAGAGTTGAATTCCAAAGTGATATTATATGCTGTGTTGACCAAAACATTAATAAGTAACAAGCAAAAATTCAACGTCATCTTTCAAAATACTTGGCTTAATATACACATGTTTGAGAATTGGCTAGAAAGAATGAAAACAAGCAACACAAAAGTTAGTTGCAAGTTATATAAGTGTGAACTGAAGGCAATTATAATGACTTAAAAATCAAAGCAAGACCCCATTTATAAAAAACAACACAAACAAATTTAAGGATGAATGAACATAGCATTTTATTAGCAGTCAGAATCTGATAACGTGAAATATGTTCAATATCAGTATGGAATATTAACCGAAAAGCATCAGCAGTTAAAGTAAAGTAGGAAACACTGCAAAACCTTGAACTCAAAGGAATCAATACAGGAATGTTAAATCCAAAATTGAGAAAGCGCCTGACAATGGATTCAAATAAATTAACTGAAAAATAACAACCTAAATTAACTGAGAATTATTTTTAAAAGAGAAATGTATATGTAAACAACAGAAAATTATCAATTTGGTTTTAAGATTCACAAAATTTATATACATAATATTATAACCATGAATTGAAGTGCAACTTGTGGAACCCTGAGAGACTGATTTTGTGATGACATCAGAGATCATGTAAGCTTACGAATCTACGACACTAAGAAAAAAGGACAGACACTAAGAATTGATTAAATGATTCCACTAATTCTGAAAACATAAGAACAACTTTGAACATTCTCTTTCTTCCTGCTGTTCAGCAAAACAAAGATGAATATAGATTTGTCACAACCAAAAGATACTGCAACAATTCATAATAATTATGGAAATATGTCATAATCAGGCATTAAAACTAAGCTTTTATGTGTATTTTAAAAAAATCAAATAAAAGTTCTCATAATGAAAGGGCCCATTATCTCCACTCCTACAAATGTGGGTAAATCAGAAGCACTGCGAAATCAATGCCAATTTTGTTTTCTAATACCAGAGACATATTTTTCAGAAATTCATTTCCCAAGAAAAAATAATAACTGCAGACCTTTATATGGCATAAATGTCTAAGGTTTAGAAGCTTACAAGTGTGGACCATTTTGAATTGCATCATTCATCATCATAATGCTGAACCCATACATCGATCAAATGTCAAACAGCATTGTTCCCATTATTTTCTCCTCTTGTTCCCCTGATCTGAAAATTTGCAACTTCAACAACTACCCCAAAAGGAGAATAAATCTCAAAAAGTGAAAATTCAGCATAGCTGAAGGAATTCAGAGAGAGAATTGTGCTGAATAAAATGCAAAAGAGAATTTTCAGATGACTTTTCATTAATGCTAGAAATTATATGAATTACTATGAGGCCTATTCGGAAACTAAGTACCGTTTTGAAAAAAAAAAAAAAAAAAAAAATTTTTCAACATAGTTTCCGCCAATAATCAAAAACACTTGTAAACCAGTTTTTGTATACCGTCGTCAACGAAACTTCCGCAGTTTCGATAACCACGACTCCACAGCATTTTTCGTGTCTCGTCAGATCCAAAGCGCTTGCCACCAAGCTCGCACTTCATGTGCACGAACAAGTGATAGTCGGACGGCCCAAGTCCGGGCTGTACGGCGGGTGATCGAACTGCTCCCAATGAAACTGTCGAATTACGATTGAGGGACCCAGCAGTATGGGGCCCGAGCATTGTCATGGAGCAACACAATTCCTTTACTGAGCATTCCTCTCTGTTGTTTTGAATGGCATGCCTTAGTTTTGTTAAAGTATCACAATATCGTGCCGCATTAATGGTTTCACCTCTGGAAGAAATTCAGTAAGCAAAACGCCTTTCCTATCCCAGAAGACAGTGCACATGTTTTTTGTGATGACATTGTCACTTTGAAATTTTTTTTTTCGGAGAATGAGTGGTATCTCGCTCCAAAGTTGTTTTTGATTCTGGGTGTAAATGACACACCCAAGTTTCATCACCTGTCACAATTTGGTTTAAAAAGTTTTCTCCCTCATCACTGTACAGCGTGAGAAATGTCGGGCACTACCAAGTGCTTTGTTTTGTGAACATCATGAGCATTTTGGAACCCATTGGAACACAGTTTGCGATAATTCAAGCGGTCAGACACAATTTCGAACAAAACAGTAAGTGAAAGTGAAATTTGTGGAAATGCCTCTGGAAGAGTTGTCATACGAAGCGTCTGTTTTCATGAATTGCTTCATCAACTTCCTTACCAAATCATCGGTGACAACAAAGGCCGACCATTCCGAGCCTCGGTGGACATTTGTTTCGACCTGCATTAAACATCTTACCCACTTTCTCACCATCCATCACTTATCGCGTTTCACCGTAAACTTCTGTCACTTGACGATGAATTTCGGTCAGTTTAACATTCTAGAGTAAAAATTAATCACGGCATGAATTCCACAGTCAGCGAAGAACTAATTGTCTTAAAATTTTGATGTGCACAGTAAACTGAAACCAACATAGAGCAACCAAAGTGGCGACAATTGAAAGTCAGTGAACAAGAAAGACTAGTGCGCATGCGCAGGACGCCTACCACAGCGCTGCGACAGCGCTAGAAGGAAACGGTACTTAGTTTCTGAATACGCTACGTACAAAACGATGGTCGACTTAATTCTGAAATTACTCTTTCCAGTATGTAAATTTTTTGCTATACCTATAAGGTAGTAATTTAAAAATTTTAATTGCAGGAATTTTCTGCATTAAGTTTAAAATATATGATACAGAAACTAAAGTTCAAACATTTATGGCACCTAAATATAATATATATATATAAATCATTTTACAACTTGAGTACATAAAATGTTATTAACTATAATTAAATATTTTTTCTTACTCTGAAAGACTAATAAGCGATAATGAGCTCATAATACTATGATAACTGCGAGACCTCCATTCACGTTCTCGTAAAACTTCATCATCAATTTTAAGTATCAACTGCAGAAAACTATATGGAGACCTAGAAGCACAAGATAATAACTTTCACAATAACATCAGATTCACAAAAAACAACTGAGGATTCCTTATTAGTATAAAAAATAATGATTATTATATTACTCAAATAATAATATAATTAATCAAAAATATGATTACAAATACTCAAATAATAACATAATTAAATCAAAGAATAATGTAATAATAATGATTGTAATATTACTCAAAAATGTTCTTATTATGCCTAGAAAAAGAAATTCACTTTAAATGATTTTTCACAACAGTTTACTTACAACAGTTAAAAACTTTAAAAAAAAAAGTTTTAAAAAGAAATCATCTAGAATTCGTTCTTCTCTTAAATTTTTAAATAAAGGGATCTTTTTAGTTCTTTTAAATAAACACAGAAGCTTGTATAAACCAACAAACTGGTTCTCTCCTTTTTTTAATTTTCCTCAAGCAACCATAACAGATTCCATTACAGAATAATAATCCCTTCGTAGGTCTGCCTGGAACATGTCTTTTAGACACAGAATCCTCAGATTTAAAATGATTCCATAATTGGTGGACCACAATACGAGAGACATTGAGACGTCTAGTAGCATTAGGTTGTAATATCCTAATTTTCATCCATCCGATCATCCACCACTTCCACAAATTGGGCAACTTCTCCTGGACATTGATAGACTCTCCTGCATATTGTTCACAAAACTGTAATAACAACTGAAGATCAACCCTCGTGAACAAAAATTACAATTTTTTCGTTTTTTTCCTCCAACTTTTATATAAGTATTTCTTTCTATAAAATAAAAGTGGTAGCTATTGTTTTCGCATATATTTTCTTAAACTTTGTTATTGTCATGCATATGAATGGTGAATTTAAACGTTACTAACATTTTTGTAATGGGAGTTTTGAAAAACATGTTGTTCCTTAACTTTTGGAGGGAAGTGCATATAGCACATGCATTTGCTTTAAATGTATTTCACTAGAATAATAAAATTTTTTAGTTTTAGTTTGGTTTGATTGAGTACAGAAAAGTATTTGAGGGCTATCTACCTAAGAAAAGGAATGCCTTGGAGGACTTTCTAAGAGAAACTGACTGTTGAATTTTTTTTTAATTATACAATAATGTTCATTTAAAACACTGCATGGATACATATATGCATATATATAGAGAGAAAGAGAGTGCTTGCATCCTTGGCATTCCTTGGGAAAAAATGTGTAGGTAACCTTTATGGTCTGTTCTATGTCTTTAAAATGTTCCAAGATTATCGAATCGTCGGCCCCGTACCATGTACGATGATATTTTTTCTGTCAACAAGAAACCTGTCTGCTACGGACATCATGAAGCTTACAGAGCTACTACCACGAACTAAGCAAAAGTGGTGCGTAAGTGGGTCAGAGACTTCAAAGCTGGCTGTGACAGCATCCATGATGAGTCGTCCTCCAATCGCCATCTGTGATCACAGATGATTTGGTGGCTTCAGCTGAAGCAAAATTTCTTGAGAACAAATGCTTTCCCATAAGCACTCTTTCAAAAGAATTTCTTAAAGTGTCTAAGTCAGTGCTTTACAAGATTGTTTCTGAAAAGTTAAGGTTTAAGAAACTGTGCTCCCATTGCTATCCCTAAACTCCTAACAAAGCAAAAAAAAAAAAAATAAATAAAAGATTTGAGCGGTCTCTGAATTTTTTTGACTCATTATAACAAAGGTGACACCTTGTTCAGTTGGATCGTAATGGGAGACTATGTCATTTCACATGTCATGCCTGAATGGAAGCAACAGAGCACGGAGTGGAGACACACACATTCTCCTGTAAGGGTCAAGGCCAAACAGACTCTGCCCCAGTGCAAGATCATGGCATCCACGTTTTCGGATAGGCATGGTGTCTTGTTGGTTTACTTCATGTAGTGTGGAACCACCATAAATGTGGTAGCCTAAGGCCAAACCCTGCAAAAGCTATGCAGAGCGATTCAAAACAAAAGATGCAGCATGCTGACAGACGGAATTTCGCTAGTCCATGACAATGCAAGGCCTAACACTGCAGCTCAAACCCAAGCATTATTGGACTCTTTTGGCTGGGAATTTTGGACCCACCCTACGGCCCAGACCTTGCACCGACCGATTTTCATTTTTTCCACTATCTCAAACATCATCTTGGTGGGCAACCACAACAACGATGACGAAGATGCAAAAATGGCCATGATCTCTTGGTTATTGGAGCAGGCGGCAAGTTTCTATGAAGAGGGTACTCAAAAATCTAGTTCTAAGAGATGATAAGTGTTTAAACAAACTTAGCAATAATGTTGAAAAATAGAAAAATGTATGCAGAATCTGGAAATACATTCGTTTTTCGAAAATTTTTCTTTGTTTGGTTTTTATTTCCAAACAGCCCTTACTTAAAAAACACCCCTGGTATACATACATATATATACTTATATATATAATAAAACAATTTTTTAAAACATAATATAATCATGCCTAGTATTTTCACACATTAAGCTGCTGGAAAACTATCAGTAAAGACATAAAGTAAGAAATTTAGAACCAGTCTTTCACAAAGACCAAAAATTGAAATTTATTAGTAATAATTTTCAAATAATCCTATAAATGCAAAAAAGAATTTAATAAATGCTAAAACCAAAACACTTTAAACAAGCAATATCCCAATTCAAAAAATCAATGACACTTAAAAAGAACATAACAAAAGAGGAATTCAATGAACGTCAATGCCACTTCATCAGGAGAAGGAACATTGAAATCAAATGAAATCTCTCTTCCACAAAATTCCATGCTTTTCTGTATCCAGAATTAGCCGATGAACCATTTCAATGTATTTCAATTATAACAATTCTAAAAACTAAGTAAATTCAAATCAAAATTTTACCTTTAATCAAAGAGAACATTATCCAAAGAATTGAAAACATAAGTGAAAATTTAAAACATTAGTGAAAAGACTTAATCTAAATGGAATTGAAATAAAAATTCACAAGAAATAATTAAAAACTTTGAGCACTTTCAATTAGAACTCAACCAAAACTATGAAAAAAGATAGTTACAGGAGTGGTGTTTAGGTTTGCCAGTTTGGTTTCATTGGCGAAACTAAAATACAGTGGCGAGAAAGTAATTCCGCAAAAGGCTAGAAATTAGAACAAAAGATAGAATTTTGACAACAAAAGAAAAACTTTTTTAAACTTCTATCAAAATTTTAATTTAAAATAGATGTTTTGAAAAAGAAAAATATTACTTTACTAAATAAAATGAAATTGAAGTAAGTTCTGAACTTTTTTAAAACAAAAAGGAAATAAAGAATGGGATTCAGTGTAAAAAAATTAATTAAATTTTAGAATTAATTATACTTTAAAATTAGCAGACTCGATAAGGGTACTCAAAAGTGGTCAAAAAGTTCTTATAAATTGTCTTGTACCAATAAGTAGAAAAATCCTGTAAGTTGAATTTTAGATTTTTCATTTAAAAATTACAGAAAAATGCAGAAAGCTTGAAAAAGAAGTAAAGGAACTATTGTTAGAAAAGTAAAAAGTCTTCACTTCATAGGCTTATCTTGACAACTTTGAATATACAGTCAAAAGTCGTTAATTCGGACACCCATAATTCGGAATGATCTATAATCCGGACCTCAAAACTAAAAACTTTCTGCGCATGCGCCGCGTTGACACATGCGCATAGGCGTTTACGCGTGCGCGTAAGACCCTTTACGACTGCGCATATGAGTGTGCGCAAGTGCAGAATACGTTTTTCGCGTGTGCGCGTTTTATTATAATGGACGTATATAAGCTAAAATTGTCTAATTATCTATTTCAGTTAATTGATGATTGCAATTTTATAAAAGTAAGCTTAAACTTTCGATTATATCAAATAGAATTTCCGATATATATTTGTTAATATGTAAAGGATCTAAGCGAAAGTATAGTTTTGAAATCCGAAATCTGTTTATCAATTTCACGCTGCTCGGCGGGGGGGATCGCCGCGCGGCGGGCGCGTAATGAATTGGAAGTTGATCTGTCAACACTATCTTTATCTTCAGCGCAGATGTTTTTATTTTATTTGGCTTATAATTCCCTTACCAAATGTAGTATTTCATCTCGATATGCTCCGTCTTTGATATGATTTTAAAACAAGTTCCTCGTCATTATAATTCGCTTTCGATAGCGAAGAAAGTAACAGACAGAGGTTATTGAAAACGAAAAAATTTCGATTGACAAATTAGTCGGTGTTCTCGACACAGCAATTATAGGACTTGAACAGCGTAACTTTGTAACTGAACAAAAAAAGAAATTATGTCTGTTTAATAGAATTAAAGAGAAAGTATTATCACATGAAACGAAGCAAAACTTAAACAACTTACATTGAAGAAATGTTTAATAAAGTAAACAAATAAATATTAAGCTTTTTCTTTTTGCAAATTTTGATACCCTTTAGATCATAATTGTTCTTTATTTCATAAATTACGGTTTCATATTTTTAATTTTAGAATTTCTGCATGCCATCTTACGAGATTTAAACTGATGATCTATAATCCGGAAAAATCGATAATCCGGAATCGCCGAAGTCCCGACGAGTCCGGATTAACGACTTTTGACTGTACTGATATATATACATATATACATGCATACATACACATATATCTATATCTATCTATATATATATATATGCATACACACACTGTCCTATAATTCTTACCGGGGATGTTTGATTTTGGGATGTTATGATTGATAACAACAGATTTCGGATTCAAAAAACCATACTTTCGCTTTAGATCCTTTACATATTACAAATATATATCGGAAATTCTATTTGATATAATCGAAAGTTTTAAGCTTACTTTTATAAATTGCTCTTAGAGTTGCAAAAATAATAAGCCGGATCCCAATTCGAAAATTAAGGAACAACGCAATCATCAAACATTAACTGAAATAAATAATTAGACAATTTTAGCTTATACGTCCATTATAATAAAACGCGCACGCGAAAACGTATTCTGCACTTGCGCACACTCATATGCGCAGTCGTAAAGGGTCTTACGCGCACGAGTAAACGCCTATGCGCATGTGTAAACGCGGCGCATGCGCAGAAAGTTTTTAGTTTTGAGGTCCGGATTATAGATCATTCCGAATTATGGTCCGAATTAACGACTTTTGACTGTATAAGCTGCTGACAAGAAAATGTTTCTGTGACATATATAATGCATAAGCATTGTAAGACATAAGAAAAGAAAAAGAAGCAATGAAAAAGGAATAATTAAATTTCATTGTCTATATTTGTTGGTAAAAAAATAATGCACAATTTGTGTATATTATTATGCAAACAAACAACAATGTGATTTCTTGGATAAAAATGAGTTTCAATAAAAGATATTTTTCCCTTGACAGAAAGCAATGTCGCACTCCTATGAGGTATGGGATCAATGAGGAACTGGGTATTCTCTCTCACTTCTGAAGAAGAGAGCTTTCAAACTGCTCAATCGTTTCTGGGGTGATTAGAGACCAGCAACCATTCTCTCTCCCAAACATGTTCTATTAATTTCATATCTGTGCCATGTGCTGGAGAATCCATTCAAAGGATTCCTTCATCAAAAAGGAAATTGTATGCTAGCTGAGCACGATGCGGCCTGGCATTATCATCCATGATAATGAATTCACCCCAGACTGCTACAGACATTAGCGTTTTCTGTGCCTTTTCATTCAACCTTTACTGCAAGGGAGAAAATTTTCTATTTTTGAAACAGCATGTATTTACATGCAGCCAACAAAGGTAATTTCTCTGAATCCAATGCTCTGTATTTAGCTTTTTAATGGAACAAAAGTGACCCATAACATAAAGGTCTTATTAAACAAATATTTGTAAAAAATTCCATTTCATTGACAATGAAAATGTCTAACATAGGGTCCAAAAATCACTTTTAAAATATTCATAAAAGAAGTGTATGACTAGTCACTGATGAATATAGTTTGCCCCAAATTTCATGTTATGAACTCAAATTTTTTTCCACTAAGGAAAAATTCATAATTTCATAAATAGATGGCACGACACCAAAGAAAACTTAAGTATCAAAATGAAATCAACTTTAACTAAAGTTGTTCCCCTGCAAAATTTTGCATTCTTTAATGTTCGCAATCTTTAATGATAAGTTACTTAAAGTTAACTTTGATCGTTAAGACAATATCAATAAAAACATGCTAAGACCAATTCACTGTAATAGTACTAAAAACTCTTGCATGCCTTTTCAAACCAAGAGAAATAATATGCAGTGATCCTAGCAGTACAATCAATGAATGGTATTAACAGCACTTTGGGAAACTGCAAGACTCTACAGCTACCAAACTCATCAGCTTTGCAGATCTTATATAGTGAGTTGGACTTTTATCTCCAAAGGTTGCAACTGCTATATGAGATGCAACCAAGTGATATCTATAAATGAAAGACCTTTGCCACATGGCAATAGAAAATATTGATACAGATCCACAATAGATTTTGAATATCCTCTGAACAGATGAAACATGTTTTTCATTGTGAAGAGGTATTTTTCACTTTGATATCCATAACTGTCAAACATGAGCAAAGGATCTTCAAGCATACACATGAAAATGCTATGGAAACAGCATGTGAAGTGATTTCAAAGCATCTATCATCAGAAGCCCATTCTTCCTATAACAGACATATGTAAAATGTGCTTTATAACACATAACTATTATCTGAAAATGCTAAGTGAGAACATCATAGCATTTTCAAGAAAACGAGAACTTATAGAAATTCCCCTATTTATGCAAGATGGTGACACTCTTATATAGCAGCCTCAGTAAAGCAGTTCTTCACAGCAGTGTCCAATTCCAATCAAATGAGCTGTTGCCTGTCATTGATCGAAACAACAATCAAACTTGATGACAATGGATTTTTGGTTCTGGAGCTATAAAAACCCTAGGTACACATCAGTAACACAACATTCCAGCACAATTAGAGATATGATCTGCAGTGAAGCTGCTTCCACAGAATCAAATGCATCAATGAATGGCATAATCACATGCTTGCAGAATGCGATTTCCCATGGTGACATACTGAACATTTGGCACTGGAACATTGTACCACAATTTAGAAAAGCTCCCTTTTATTAAACAGCCAAAAGACAGTGAAATTGTTGAAAATTTGTTGATTGCAGTTCATTAACTGAATATATATGTGTGTGTATATATTCAATTAATACATATACATATGTACAGTATCACAAAATTTTTATCTATTAACAAAGACCTCACCTTTTCACTGCTGCACTGTCAGTCACTGCTTTATGAAGAACAAGGAAAGCATTTTGAAAAGACATTTTTAAAAGGTGCATTAAATATGTTCCTTTAGCAACATCATTACCTACAATAAATAAAAATATATATGATGCTAAAGATACATATAAAATTCTGCTTCAGAATCGTATAAACATTTTGCATGTATTGGTTATCTTCTGATATTATAATTTGAAATTAGGTCAAAATCTTAGAATAATTAAGAAGAGACTGCAATTAAAATCATTTTTACCTAAAAGAACCAAAATTATAGATATAATTGTTAAGAAAATTAACAAACTATTTTAAGCCTCACTAGTATAATTTTATATGCAAACTTTTCATCATAAATCTCCTCTTTTTGTGACAGTTCTTCTAAACACCAATCTTTCTCCATTTCATCTTCTAATACAATTTCTAAAATATTTACTATCAAAGAATGTTAGATTTTTTTTTATTATATTTCCAAGCAAAGGTCATGTCTCTCTGCAACATGAACGTAACACCAAAAATTCCTTCTTTTACTTATGTGGCAAAGAATGTGAACTCAACTGTTCTACTTTTGGTTACAATGACAGTCAGTTCTCCTTATACCATGCTATTATTTTCTTCAAAAATAATGAAAACATTTACTAAATACTATATATATACTACTATCTTAGCTCAGTTTGGGTTGTGCTCTTGTAATTGAGGAAATTTATACTAGTTGAGCTAAGTTATGATGCATTTTTTCTAAAAATTTTATTTTTGTTATTATATTTGCAAAATCAATAATGATATAAAACATAAGACTTCCTAGAAACTGGAAAGGAATAATTCTGCATAAATTGCATTAAAGAAAAGTGAGCATGTTTACTATGAAGTAAAAGCACTCCAGTAAAAAAAAAAAAAAAAAAAAAAAAGCAGCCTGGTGACATTATTTTGAAGAACATTAACACAAGTTTTGCTATGAACTCTAAAGGGCCGTTCCCACTGGGGTTTATCTGAGCTAACAGAGCCAGTTTCATGTGTCGACTAGCTCCGCTATGTCTGCAGTTCAGATTTTTCTACTTGCTGCCCTATGGAAAAAAACTGGTTTTCGAGATGGGTTGGCTATGTCAGTTGTCTCCATTAACTCAGATAAACCCCAGTGGGAACAGCCTTTAAAATTATGCAGGAAACAATTTGTGAATAGAAATATAATTAAACTATACAGTAAAAGCAATTGTATTAATCAAGTTCCAGAGTAAGGAAGACTTTTAACAACATAAAACTTAAAATAGCTCAATTTATAGTTGTCTGGTAAAAATATTGATGAAAAATAAAAACATTCGGGAATTCTTTATTAAAAAATGTATTTAAAAAAAAGCACTCTTAATTGTGTTTTAAAATACACTGATGAAAATTTTTTAAAAACTGCACATTTTCATGACTTTCTTGATAAATACTGAGCAAAAGACACAAATTATACTTCCAAACAAAAAAATCTAAATATTTAGTGTTGAATATGCAAGAGTTCATGTGCAAGTAGGAGTAGTTATGGCATGGACCATTACAGGCACACATAACATTTTCTGCACTTCATCCCTCATGTTCCTTGGCAACTTTTGTGGCTTATTTATTTATTATCTCCACCCTAATATCTGGAGAAATTTAAAATGCACAGTTGAAATGACAAATTACCAATGTTTGGATGATGGAATGAGATGGAGAATCATCATGAGACTGAAAGCAGGACAGTTTCAAGTACAGATTGCTACAGACTTTCAAGCACAGATTGCTACAGACAATGTAAAAAATAGCATAACATAGAATTTAAGGTTTGATTTATGTGATTATGGCAAAGCCTTGAGGTCTATCTGCCTAAGAGGAGGGATGCCTTTGTGGAGAATTTCTAAGGGAAACTGCCTCATATACACATTACACATGGAAGAAACCATGAGAAAGCCCATGCAGCCAGCCTGTTTGGGGGATTAGAACCTCAGAGTGAACGACCAGTGTTTAGCGGCTTTACCGCTCAGTCACTGGTGGGCCTTAGAACTTAAGGGAACAGTTTAAAGATACCAGATCTGTCAAGAGAAAGCCAGAATATGATTGTCTAGGAACCCTGACAGACAAAGAGAATCCATATTTTTCCACTTCATCAACATATAACAGGAAGTGCAACAGCTTTTCAGCTCTTTTTTAATTTTCATGTGGTCACAAGAAGCCAATTTTCAAGGGATACTGTTTCCAAAAAGCTACATGACGGTGGTTGTGTTTAAGCCCCATTAACTTTTGCTCACAAAAGAGTTGGCCAGTTTAATATGGTGCACAGAACATTGATTTTGAAGCAAATGTTAGTGAGAGACCATTCTCTCCATTAATAAGTTCTAATTCAGTTTTCTCACTGATTCTTGATCTATCTTCATCTGAAGGCATCCTCTAATTTCTTATGTGGTTTCAGTTTTTAAATCAAATTTGAAGAAAATTTGGATTTCATGAACAATTCAAATAAGAGAAAAAAACTACAGAAAATGCCAAAACTCCTCCTCATTCACATTCGGAAACAAATTTTTATGAATTAAAATGAGGATTTGTGCTATTTGTAAAGGCTAAAATTCACCATATTCTGTCATGATTTACTAATAACAATGGCCTCTTATACATTTGAAGAATGTTTTAGATTATGAATTCTCTAAGCGAAGCTCATAATCTATTAGATGTCACGCAAAAATTATTGAGGGTGAAAGCACAAAAGCACTTAATTTCTTTTTATAATTTATATGCATTTAATTTTTTGTAGTTTATATTTCATTATTAAATACCGTATATGCTGGTGTATAATGCTATCCCCTTTTTCTACAAAGAAACCTGAAAGATACACGTGCAATGCTCTTATCTTTTGAAGTCCTTCATTCGAAGATTTTTCCCAGACTTGCGAACATTGGTATACTGAATTGACAAGCAATGAGAACAATACATGTGTGGGAGAAATGCTTGATAGAGTAAATATAATTCTGCAAAGAGGGGGCCTATATTCAATGTAGGTATGCATAAGCATGTTATTCTAGGGTTTCGAATAAAGAGGGACATAATTTGGGGTAAGAATGCACTTCTAATGCAAATGAATTCACAGAATTTGGAGTCTGATGTTTCCTCTTTGTGTAGCCATTTGAAGCCATGATTTTGAAGTGTACATCAAGGGCTTTAGTAAGCTGAATTTTCTTTACTTGAAATACAATTGATCTAGTGTTTCTTTTAGCAGTAAATATGGCTCCTGCCAAGAATACACTTCGGACACAAATGAATTCATACAATTGCGGTCAGATGTTTCCTCTTCCTGTAGTCATTTGAATCCGTGTTTTGAAGTGTACATCAAAGGCTTTAGTAATTGAATTTACTTGAAATACATGTTCCTGTTAGTAGTAAATATGGCTCCCGCCAAACAAAATAAACACAGTGTGGTTTTAAATGCAAAGTCATTCAGTTTACAAAAAATGGAAATCGTACTGCAGCAAGGATGTTTGGTGTTGGTGAAAGCTCCAAACTGGAGTGAAAGAATAATGAAATTAGAGTATTTAGTATGCCAAAAAATAAATGTGCTTTGCATAAAGGAGTAACAAAATCACCTATCCTAGAAAAAATTGTTGCAAATTGGGTTCTAGAAAATCAGTAGAATGTATTAATTTTAACAAGAAATAGAGTATATTTATTTGCCTTAAAATGGACAAAAAGGAATGCAAATGAAAGAAAAAAATTTTAAACAACTTTGAGTTGGTGTAGTCAATTCATGACATGGAATAATTTAGTTCTAAGAGAAAAATTCTGCAAAGGCTTCTGAAAAATTTGGACAACAGATTAAAAGTTTCCAGAAGTATGTTACTGGCCTATAAAAGTAAAAGAAAATTATTTACTGTCACATGTTGGAAATATGGATGAAACTCCAGCAATGTTTTTACATGGCAGAAAACAAAGCAAGTGATGTGAAATGTACAAAAACAATTTCACATAGAATTAACAGGTAATGAAAAATCTTACCTCACCATAATGCTTTTCTCCATAGTGTACAAATTTAAAACCCATGGTAGTGTTTATATATATAAACCCATTTATAGTGTTTTCCTTCATGCTCAAGAGAAAGGCTGGATGAACAACAATGGTGTGAAATTGTGGATTAAAGATGTTTGGCAAAAGCATCCTGCTCCTTAGAGAATCCAGAAAGTCTTTTAATTTGGGACATGTTCAGATCCCATCTAATGGATAATATGACAAAATTATTGAAAGAGTGGAATACAGACATGGCAGTTATTCCAGCCAAATTAAAGCCATTAGTTCAACCTTTAGATGTGTGTATCAATAAATCACTCAAAGAAATTTTAAAATGACAGTGGAATATGTGGGTATTGGAAGGGGATAAAACATTTACGAAAAGAGGCCAAATGTGACGTGCCAGTCTAAAAATAGTGAGTGGATAATAAAAGCATGGAATTTAATTATACCCAACATAATTCAAAAGTTATTTAAAAAATTAGCATATGGGGCGACGTAAAGTCTTCCAGGATGGTTGGGCTGCGTCCTTCATATCTAACAGTATCTGAATATGCATTACTGCAGCAGTGATATCAACTGCTACAAGGACTTCAAAACTGCCTTATTTTCAGTATGGAGTCACTTTGCTAGACCTGTTTGACTGTTACAGAGGACCAACCCCACATAATTTTGTTTGAACTTACAGCCTTTGTTTTACACCTTACTGCACCAATGAAACTTATGCATGATCATACATGTGTACGAGTGTTGCATAGAATATATTTCATATTAATGTTAGGTTTTTATATACATTACTATGAACTGTCATTATAATTATTGTTTTTAATTAAAATAAAAAATTATAATTATAATGATTATAATAACTTTTGTTAGTTTGCCAGAAATATAATGTACAGCACTTATTAATCTCCTTCACTTTTTGACTCGCTTCCAGAGTGAAATAATTTGTAATCAAAAATGGACATCATTAGTATATAGCACTTCCTGTGATTAAAAATTTACTAAGATTTGTAAAGTGGATTGTTTTTCAATTTATAAGCTCATTTGGAAAAGGTGTAGTGACTTTCTACATACCACAGAACAGGTACCACCAGAAAACTAGATACCACAAAATATTCACATGCTACTTCTGCTGGGGGAAAAAAATCTGCCTTCACAAGAGACTTTTAAATCTTTTAGTGCACTGCGATATTCAGACAACAATAATAAAAAATTAATTTTTATAATTTCTGTGATTATCTTTATTTTTTCTTCTCATGAACTTGATAAATATACTTAATGCTGCCAAGTGATCCCGATTGCAATACCACTCCTGGCCACCCTTTACTTCCTACCAAATTTCATTAAAATCTATTCAACAGTTCTGAAGACAACGGACCAAATGTGAAAGTTTTCTTAATTTTGAACACCATAATGTACTATAGAATCTATTTTCTTAAATATATATAGTATTCAAAATTCAAGCAATGATTATTTTAGTGATCTTACATTCCTTAACAACTGGATATAATGTGAAAAATTATATTAACTGAAGATACATAGAGCCAAGTGTCACTTAAATATTTTCTTGCATAAGTAGCCTACTATACATTGATAGTTCAGATATTCACCTTCCAAAGTGCTCATCCACAAGGATATATTTTGAATTAACTATTTTAAAGCAAACATACATGAGATACAACTTAAGCTTACTAGTCTCTCTTACAAATCAAGGTTAAGTGTTCCTTGTCATAAAATGCCAATTACTATGCTCTTATTGATATAAATTTCGGCAACCCTTATTTTAGGGCAATATAAGCCATAATTAAAATTCTTTTTATTCTCTTACCGTGAACTCCAAATTTATACTTCTATTTCTCAATGCAATAAAAAAATTGTACGCATAATTCTGGTTTTTATCATCAATCAATTTATATATTTCATTTTGAAACTCTTTTAAATAACAGCTGAATATTCTATATTGTATGGAAAAACAGTTCTTGTATACAATTTAACAGCTCTCTGTTTTCTTATGGCAAAAATGTAATTCTAGTATCTGTTGGATGATCCAAAATTAACAGAAGAAGTAAAAATTGAACAATTTGAAAATTATAGCATAACACAATGCTCTTTTCATGGAAATAGAAAGCATGAGATCTTTTTTTGAAAAATAACAATACTTTTATTGCCAGAACAGTTACATTTTTCATCAACAGGTGATGCTGTAGTGGTTCCAAAGAACTGAAATTTAAAACCATATGGTGATACTCAGAATCATTCTCAAAATGTACTCTTACAAAATCAAACATGTACAGAAACTGAAATTAAATAGTTTCAAGAGACCTTATAAATTAGCAAAATGAGATTTTCAATAGATGGAAAACAACAAAAACTGGCTGTCAAATTGACGAGCTGCACTTAATAGAAATGTATATGCAATACTCCTTTCCCATGCAATTTTTCCATTGAATTTGCAAGGATTTTTTAAAATGCTGTGTTCAAATCTCTGTTATCAATTTACTCTGAAATAGAAATTTATTTTTTCACATTTACATTACAATGATTTGAAATAAGAAGTAAATGAAATAAATGTTATTTAAAGCGCCAACAGTGCTTAATTTATCTCTCTTAAATTCATAAGCTCTCTTTTTTTAATGTTCAACATTCAGCAAATTGTTTGTAAATAGGTTTTGAAACAACTATATATAGTAGTACAAAATCAGGTGTATTTTATCTTCTCTCTTATCTGTTTCATTCACTGCATGCACGAAATTCTTGATATAATCATATCCATAACATTTAGGGGCTCACTTTTAGTTATATTACTATTGAGTAATTCATTGAAATATTTAAACCAGCTAATCTAAGTAAAAGAAAAAATATATATATTTCACCCTTTTATTTGCACACTGAAAATTTTATTACATGCAATATAGAAGACAGTAACAGAAATAAATATTTTACAAAACATTGAAAATTATTAATATTAAATAATAAAATCTGATCATACAAATTTGAATAAAATGGTGGAAGAAAAAAAAATGTGTAAAAGTAACAATTTTAGTGGCGCTACCTATCGATTAATAAAGTAACTACACAGTCAAGTAAAATACATCACCTATTGGGAGAATACCCAAAAATGCTTTTTCTCTCTTTTAGATTTGATAGATAAAATTTACATTTTATTTTAAATAATCATTCTCAGAACACAATTCTAATTTTTGAATATAGTCTGAATCATGAATAAAGCAATTTTTATAATGCAACATTTTACATAACCTTATTTTCATTATATGAAAGATAACAATAGTTTATTAATTAGATCCAAAATATAATAGTTAATACATATATTTACCCTGATTACATGGATCTTCAACACTGAGAAGGGTACCAGTTCCTCTAGCCTTTGGTTGGTAGTTCCCACCATCTTGGAAGTGTATTGATACTTTCTCGTAATTGAAATTTATTCCATAAAGTTCAAAAAATTCAATTAATAATGTTCCCAAATTTGAAGAAGGCTCACATTTTGGTTTATGATAACCCTAAAAATGTTTAGAGTGATATTATTGTAATTTTACTTACAGATTTTTATAATTTTTCACATTTTATAAACTTTTAGAGATAAATTACAGCTGTAGTAAGTTTTTTTTTGTTAAATAATAGTAAGGATTTTTTTTTTTTTTAAATAAAGCTGTTATTTACACCTAGAAAGATCTTCTAATTCCAAAAAGAAACTTTAAAACTTTCTTCTAGGAGTACTTTTTAAATTCATAAGAATATTTGTGATGACACAAATTATAATAGAAGACAGCTCATTTTTCATAAATGCAGTTTTATTTTATAATAGAACTGAAGACCAATTTTAAGCAAGATTTGCTGCATAAAATTATTTAAGAAAATATATACCAAAATTTTAGGCTCAAGGAAAGTTGGTCATACTTGCAGTAATTCACTATTTAATTTTTATATTTTAAAAATATGACCTGAATACATGTTAAATGTTACATCTCCTATATAATATAAAACTTAATAAGAAAACACTAAAATGTACAACAATAGTTCTTAAATTTTATGAATTTGTGACCCTTTTACAATTTGCAAATATTAACTTATTATAAAAGTAATTTGCACAAATTACATTATTTAGTACAAAATAAAAAAAAGTCTCCTTCAGACAAGTTATGTATATTTCACTACATAAATTATAAGAACTTCAAATTTATTTTACAAATTTTGCAAAATTTACTCTTTTTAACCACTTGCGTTACGACTAAACTTCAAGGTTGCTGTGCCGTGCGCTAAAATATAAAAAGCGGTAAAGTGTCTCATTTATGCTGCTCCACATCTGTGAGTGCAATCCAGAGCTGTAACTCAAGAAATAAACAATCTCGTTGTTAGGCGACATGTGCACCACGTTATTTTCATTTTCGCGATAAATGCCTATCGATGTGGTGTTCACGTCGCACGCAGTTTGAGACAAAAGCATCTCGACGTGCGTGGCACGTCTTTTTAGCGCAAGTGGTTAAAACATAAAAAGCTGTAATAACAACAATTTTTATGAAAAGTGAAATATATTAATTGCTTCCTTAGGAAAAATGACATTTTGTTATCACTAAATGTGCAATATCTGCACAAATACATTATGAAGAAAAAATCGTAACTGCTTGTACTTTTCCTACATATAAATTTATAATGTGCAATTTACAATCAGGAAGATTATTGTGCTTGAGAGCAAGATTTATGCAAAGACCAAATTATAATTTTTCAAGTTTATTCTGTTCTCAAACAGTCAATTTTGATTTCTTGAAGTCCTCAATAATGAAATTTTTATACAGAAAATAAATGGAAAATTATATTTCAGTTTGAAAAATTGTGTCTTAATCAATTCTTAAGAGACTGCAGACAATTTAAAAACTGCAGATATACATAATTATATAGCAAAATGAAAATTGAAGGGCTTGCAGCAAGAAGGGCCCAGCTCCACTTTGGCAGATGGGCCTTTTTTCTATTAAAAAAAAGTTACATTGGAGTAAAAAGCCGTTGGGATAACTGTAAAAAGTCATTTTTACTAGCAAATTTAATGAGGACAAATGTTTAGAACATAAGTTTAAAAATGAATTTTTGATTTTATTTATTTATTTTTATTTATTATTATTATTATTTTCCAAAAATTTAAAAATGTGGAGCTGGGTCTTTCTTGCTACAAGCCCTTCAATTACTGTCAGCATGTTTAATTTTTAATTATCAAAAAAATTATTCAACTCTCACACACAAACTATACTTTATTAGCAAATTTTACAAGATATTTATAAAATTTTGTTCCAATAAATGCAGTTTTAAACTTACTTGTAAAAAACTGACTATTAATAATGTGAGACAGTAGGAACTCATACCACCATTGTAAACTTCGTTTAGGCCTCTTTGAACTAAATATTGTTTAAGAACTAAAACTAATTTTGGCAATGCTGGATACTGTTTCATTAATCCCTTTAAAAATAAAAAGTAATAATGTCAATTAAAAAAAAGCACACTGAGAAAAATCAAATTTGTATCATAATTAACAATGAAATATTTACATATACTTGTAAACACATGAATGCAATATGTGAATCTAAGCATCACAAAGTTCTATTCAACAGCACTGCAGTTACATATATAGCATAGACAATAAGCAAAAAAAGAAAGAAGTCTGTGTTTTCTGTTCTAGTTGAAATCTGAACTGGTTTAAATTTTATTTTCTGTTTCAAGGAATATAATTTACCAGGCTGCTTCAAACTGAGATTACAGTTTTCCAGTAAAAGAAGAAACAGGCCAAACATTATCAAACCTAGAGTGACAGGGAGCAAGACATTTTTATAATAAAAAAAGACTGGATTCACAATTCACTGATTTGTGATATGGCATTCTCTTAAACAAACTGGATGGAGCACCAAAGGATGCAGTGTGGTATCCATCTTGGCCAGATTATACTAAAAAGAGTCACAGTAGATGGATTTGGAGGCAGAAAATCTTATAGATATCACTAGCATTTACATGTACTTTCATATCATGTAAACTCTGGTATAATGAGAAAGGATAAAAGAAAACACCTGAACCAGAAAAAATCATTTTGGCCAAAAATAATAACAACTGACTTTAAAAGACAGCACATTATTGGACTGCCAGGAGTACGAGAGGCAATTTGGTACTTCTAATTATCCACATATCCCCCCCCACACACACACCTACTGAAAAATTGTGAACTTGTTGCCATTTCTGAGAGCATTTGCAAACTCACTAGCAATTAATTTTCACTAAGCTAATGTCTAAAAGGTCATAACCATTTTCAAAATGGTAGCACACTAAAACTTCCATGCAAAAACAATAAATAAAACTGAAGAAGCAGGAAAATGCCTAATAAAACACTTAATTTCTCTTCCATTAATAACTTCTGCTTTTCTGAACTCCTATTTTTCCCATGTATATAGCAATCTGTTTTTAGTTAAAAATCAAAAGAACTGCACTCATCATCAGCACTGTGCACTAGCCAAAGCAGATATGTTTAAGTGTAGACCTAGTTGCCAGTTAAATACTTTTTGGCAAATATAATAATATCACAGATTGCCACATAACTATTTTGATGACAAACTGCTAAGCCTCAGGAATACTTTTTCGTAACCTTCTTGGTGGGATTACAGATAATCAGAAAATACTGGCAATTCTTTTAATTTCTCATTATCCAGATAACTTTGAATGATTATACAAATCCTTATTTGGTAAGACTTGTGAAGCAAAAGTTAAAAACGTCCCTGAAGAACAGTTCAATTTAGATAATGACTTGACATTATATCCAACTTTAAATCTAGCAAACAGTCTTAATAAGAAAGGATCTATAACTTAAAAACAACTAACTGCCTCAATGCAGGCCATATTTTTTTTCTAAATATAGTAAACTAATTAGATAATTTATCTTTTAAACAGAAACTTTTGATGACTCCTAATAAACGTGGTCTGATTTCTTTAAACAGCAGTGACTTAATTTCACAATATACATCAAGAGCCTAATACTTAATTTAAAAAGGACATACATGCTCATATTTTAAATAAAACTTTACTTAAACTTATTAATGATTACATTATCATTTATTTACATTGTATGTATAGTTATTTTTTAACTAAACTATGAGTCTTTCCCATAAAAACACTAAACAACAGATACTTTAAATAATGCATTAAAAGATACTCAACCTTTAGCATCTTTGCACCTTTGACACCATTTGTCAGATTGAAACTGATATCTACTTTTATTTTTGAAGGTGTATGCAAAACTCTGACAATCGGAACCTAAATAAATAAATAAATAAAAGTTGATATGAAAAGAAATCTAAAATTAAAATTTCTTCAAAGCTGCCAAATGAATAGTAAAATGGGGAAAAAAAACAGACTACATAAAACAGCTATAATCCACCAGTATCTGTTAATGCCTGCAAAATGTGAAGTTTTTAAGATCTCAGTATTGTTTCAATTTCGGTATATGTACTGCCAAAGCAAGATTTTTATGATGTCAAAAAAGAACAAATTTTTTGTATTAAATCTGAAGATGGTGAAGCAAAAATGAATGCAGTACATTAATCCCTTATGGTTTCAATGAATTCATTCAAAACTGATATCTGAATTAATTTTAAAAAATGAAGAAAAAGTTCTAATATTAAAAAATATGCACCACTTGAATTTACATATTTAATTATTACAATATCCTTGCTGGTAACCTTTTACGCCTCATTTTCAAAACAAGTCACAGCCATTTTATATCAGATTGACTGTTTTTTTCAATACTGGCATACAATTACATAGAACTTTTACCAGATAGTTTAATTTTATGCCCTAAGGCCATTCGCGGTAATTAAGTCAATTAGGATGCAATCACACCGCTCACCTGAAGGTGAAAATATAGAAAAGGCAAAGCCAAGGGTTAAATTTTTCAATTCTAATGAGAATGCACTAGCGAAGTAAAGCACTGTGTTTTACATAATTTCTGAGTATGCTATTCGTACGAACTGAAATAATTCTTTCATTTAAACTTGTATTCCAAATTAAGATTTAACTTGAAATTAATGTAGATAATTACGGAGAAAATTAGATTTTTGTAGCGCGGTTTATATGAGATGAGATCACTTGGGGTCCCGTAATATAAACCGCCGAATCAGGATGTTGAACCATAAAAGCATAGTAAATTCTTAATTAAGTCTTTTTACAAATTTGTCTTTATTTATTGGCTTTTTATAAAATTTTAAATGATATTAAAATGTTTATGCCTTCAAAATAAAAATTCTTAAGACCTAACATTTGCTAACATTTTTTATGTGTATAATGCATGTTGTCGTTGTATGTTGGTGAGATTTGCGCCGGTGAAACGGAAAAGTACCGTTTTATTTCTTATGGTTCTTTAGCATATACATGCAAAATAATAATAATATTTTTGAGGAAAAGTTGCTTTAATAACAACAGTTTTATACAGTATTATATTAATATAACATACATAAAAGTCAAAAACCTTACTTTAAGTACCTTTTAAAACATTTTTAATGACATGTATACAATCAGAGAATATAAGTCAAAACATTTCACTCACTGTAGCACTGGCTATGATATTTATATCACTACTCTTTATACCATTACTTTCTAAAGCTTTACTCAAAGTACTTAGAGGCAAATTTCTCCACTCTCCTATTATAACCATGTCGATATCACTAAATAAAAAGCAAGAAATTCATGTTGAAAAACATACACATACTTTTAATTTTTTTTTAAATACTAAATAATGTGATTCCTTTTCTTAGAAATGATAGCATATTAAAAAAAAGTACAAAAAATTCGTAGTGCAAATAAAAAATTTTAACTTGATTCAAATGTTTAAATTATTCAAACAAGAAAATTTTAAAAAAATTTAAGATTTAGATTATAAAAACGCCTTCCTCCCACACCCTCCCAAAAAGTAGAATTTAAACCTTCAACTGTTTAACTGAAGAATAACTTCCACTAAAATAGGAAAGTGGTTATCGACATTGGTTGTCGTACCAAAAGCCTGAGGATCAAATCCCAGAGAAGACATGGATGTTTGTTGTTGCTTTTCCTCCAGATTCTGACAAAGTCAGACAAGGTCATTTATTGGTATAAATATCTTCCTTAGAGAGGTACAAACAGACCATAATATGTTCGGCAGAAGCCTAATGTTCTCAGCATTTGATGCATGTGGAAAAGATTTTCATTGCCCTCCTTGAAAGAGAGGCACTTTATGTGACCGATGGTAATACATGAGAGTTCAGCTGCTGTTACACTCAAGGTATAGAGTCTAACCAGGCTTGCTAGCCAAGTGCCAGTGATTGGGGGGAGGCACAAGACATTCGACCACAATTTCTAATTTTTTTCAGAGAGTATAATTCCAGATAAGTGATACACTTACAAACATCCAGATCACCTGTCTGGATGTTTATAAATGTATAGTATCTGTGCAGCACGGGGACACTCAAAACATGCAGCAAGCTGAAAGTCTTCTCGAGAGATTGTGGTAGGGAAAGAGGGCTGAAAGACCTTGGATCCGCCCAAGTTGCTCTCCTTCAAAATAGGGATGGAACTAAGCATAAGTCAGACTGTCACCTGTATCGTGCTCAAGGCTCTGGCCAACAAACAAGCGTTATATTGTACTTTTGGCCATGATAATAATTTGTGGGCTTGATCTGATTACATTAGACATGTGAGGTTAGTAACAACAGCAACAACATAACTTCCCATTTCTAATGATGAATTTATATAATCAGTTATTAAACCAATACTAACTACACTCCCAACCAATACTAACTACACCAATACTAACTACACTTCCCAAAGAAGGCTAGCATAATTATAAGCACAAACTAAATAGCTCTAAATAATGACAACCTTTTTGGCTGCAGGTGAAAAATCAACCAAAATGCCTGTATTGAGCACACTAGTATTTTCATTTTAGAACAGTCAATCTTGGTAAATAATAAGACAAATTTTGCTGAGAAAATAATTACAATATGCTTTAAACATAAAAATTAATATTATAATTATTATAAAAGGAAGCATGGCTGAATGAGCTTTATTTTTCTGTTCAATGGCTATCTTGATGCTTAACTTGTGACATCAGTTTAGTCAAGTCTGGATTATAGTTAGTCATCTCAAGACAAATTCAAGCATCTGTTTCTGGCAGTTAAGCTGCTTCTGTTCTTATTTAAAATAAATTTCATGTATGCAAATGTTGGTGAATTTAAGTACCAAGTTTACTTGGGCACTAAACACTGGGGGTCCTGCGACAAGCTGACCACTTGTTCAAGGCATATGCTTACACATCCCGGGGCCCACAGTCAAGAAAGCAGAATTCAGGCACTGCAGGCCTTGGCCCACTAGGGCCACTTAGGGCTGTTACGCCACTGAGTTTAGTGTTTAGTTTTTAAAGTTCTTAAATAATCATGACTTACCAGATGTTTCAAATGTCCCAAAAGCTAAAAATTTGCATGGATAGAGGTCTAGAGATCGGGAAGGCCACACATTATGAAAGTGCCGGCTGTTTTGATAAAAGAATTTTACTAACAAAGCACGATCTTGTAGCCACTGTGAACAACAAGCACATTGAAAACAAAGTCTCCGCGAATGTTTCTAGGTTTCAGAACAGCTGCTGCATGATATAGACAAAGATTTGCATTTTTGCGACAAGTTTTCAAAGTAAAATGCCCTCTAGTGATGCTATTTGTAACTAATTGTTTTTTCTCTAAAAGACATTCTCATCCCTTCATTAAGTCCACCACAAAATTTCATGATTTTTTTATCAGTAGTTTCACTTGTAGGCAGCTTTGAGGCAGCTTGTAGGTTCTTTTATTATAGACACTCTGTATGTATAACAATACAATATTTTCAATATACACTTCTTCATTAACACATATCATATCATAAGGAAAATTGCAAAATTTTATTATAGAAACAAAATGTTAAAAATATTATGGGCACATAAAGCTAAGTATATAATGATATTGAAAATAATATAAGAAACTATTTACAGTGACTCCTAGAAAGAGCTTTCTGTTAATTAATTACAAGGTGATTTTGTAATGGATTGTCCATGCAAAAAAAGAAAAAAAAAGAAATATTTTGGTTTATACATATGAAATGATACGATATGTATCATTGTAATGTGAATTTTATTCTTTAAATGTCATGATTAGATGTAAGCTATTAAAGTAACCCTGTTCTACAAGTCATAAAAGGTTATGATATTAGAATGTGTTGCTATATATCTCATTAGGTGCCCTATCAAAATTCATACTCAAATCATTCACAAAACATAATGCACATTCTTTTTGCACATTTCTTCTATCCTTCTTCCTCAACCGCATACAGTATAAAGTCTGAGACCCATGCTTGTCGATACTTACACAATTCTGTATTTCAGAATTTTCTGTATTTTAAATCATCAGTTTAAATATACTAGGATGATATGTAGAAATTTTTAAATTAAAACTATGAAATAGCTGCTTATGAAACAATGATAAATTTATGAGTTAAGTGAATCAAAATTTATAAAAAAAAAAAAAAAAGCTAAATATGTACTTGTTTCGCTTTATTAAACAATTCTTTCAATGTAAGTTGTTTAAGTTACTTCACATAATTTCTTGCTCAGTTACGAAGTTCCACTCTTCGGGGTTCTGTAATCGCATGTCAAGAATTCCAACTAAACTGTCTATCAAAAGCTTTTCATTCCCAAAGACCTTTTTGTGATTTTTTTCTCTACTGGTACTGATATTTTCTGGATTTAAAACTAAACAGACTATCCTGTCAATTAGTTGACTAATGGCATTGGGTCAGAGCCATACCTAGGGTTTTCAGCACCTGGGGGCAAATGAAGATTTTGCACTCCTTTCTGTGTGCTGAGAATGGAAAACATTTTATTCTAAAATTTCATAACATCTCTGGCGCCATCTGGATACCGTGCCTGCAGTCCGATGTCCCGCCTTGCCCCACCCTAGCTATGTCTCTGCACAGGGCATTGTCATCACAATGGAAAGCTTCTGTTATATCATATTTATTTAACATAACTTCTGCACATTTCTTCAGAAATTCCATCAGTTGGAAAATTTTGCTTTCTATAGCATTCAAAATCTACATAAAAAATAAGACTATTGTTTTGCCCAATTTTAAAATAGCACTTTCTTATGCTTGAATTGCATCAATGCTGTTATAGATGTCAATTACCCAATTTTGCGTTCATTTAGCCCATCAGGCCTCTATATGGGATTAACTGAGATAACTGAAAAGAATTAGCAGCTGAATACCAGTTTTAATATAAGTATCCATATATCTGTCAATTAATGTATTGTCATTAAAATGACATATACAAATCTCAGCTAGGTAGGAGAATAAAAGCTTTTATGTCTTCTTCTTCTTCTTCTTTCTTTTTTTTTTTTTTTTTTACAGTCCATTTACACATTTTTTGCTGCACTTCCTTTAAACTTATTTGATCAGATTACTCTAACTGAATGAACCAATCCCTCAAGACAAGTTAAAAATAAGATCAAAAATTGCAAATTTTGGAATTAAATATCCCAGTCAATTTTTGTTGTACAGAAGTAGAACTCATCATAATTTTATTTTTTCATAACGAATACAAAACTTTCCCAAATGCCAAGTACAGGAAATGGGAGGTCGCATGAAAATTTAGATTCCCTTATTTGTTGAAAATTAATTATTTTCTTTATTTATTTATTTTTTTTTTTAATTTGACACTGTCAAAACATGAATAATTTCAACATTTAAAACACTTCTGTAACTAAAAGTATATGACTAAGGCCACAGATTGCAAAAATAAAGGTCAGGTAAGAATTTTTAAGCTGAGTAAATGGGTGAATATACACAGGGTAGTCACAAAAAAATTTCCCTGATATATGAACCCCTAGTGGCCTATGCACTCAACCAATCGAAATAAAATTTCAGATATTATTATTTGAAGGTATGTGCTCGAGATTCCCCAAAATGGACCAAATTAGCAATTTAAAATAATAAAGCTCTTACGGTTAAGTAGAAAAAATTTCAAAATTTTTGAATGGCAACATCAATTTTTTTTCTGTGTAAACTGATCAGCATATTGAAAAACTATAAACGACACTGGAATGATACATATGTGATAAAAAATACGAGGTGTAAAACATTTGCAAAGAGGAACATTGTAAAACATTGTAAATGACTATACAAGAGAGGACAGGGAAAAAAACATTATAAATACAAGTTTTCAATGTGTTCAATGTTTGAAGATAGAGTCATCTCCCGTAACTTTCAGTTTCGTCGCCACCACAATCCCCCCACCCCAACCTCACAGATATCTGTTTCTAGGGTTATCCAAATTCTCAGGCGTTCACATTTACAAGATTAGTCCGAATTGAAAGATGCCATGATACACGAAAACATACAGAATTCTCTTGTGATGCTCTGTTCATCATGGTTGCACAATCTTTCACATGCAATATGTTACCATCTACAAAGGTGGGCATGTTGAAACTTGAAAATCCAATAAAAGTTTTTTCTCCCTTACCTCTCAGGTGTTGTCATTTATGTTTTTTCAATGTTTTAACAATTTCCACGAGAAAAAAAGTGAGTATTGCCATTTGAAAATTTCAAAATGTTTTCCCTGTTTACATATTAACACAACTACCTTGGGGCAATTTAGCAATTTTTTTATCGATGAAACGGTAGAAGTTACTTACTGAGGGCATACATTAAAGAATAAAACATATTTTTTTGTGTTATTCCTTCTCCCCAAGTACACAGGGATCTGTTGTGTACATAAGACTTGTAGGTATGAAATAGTACAAACTCTGGTAACATCGGCTATCTACTAAATGCACCTTCTTGATGTTTTGTTTAGAGATTTTGGGTCAAAAACTTTAAAGGAAACATTCAGGATTCCTGAGAAATTTTAATGCAGTTTCTTCCACTGCGGATAAATTCTGAAAATGCATATTTAAGGTGTAAAATATCATGATTTGTTTATAAAAGCAATTGGAATAGAACAAAAAGAACATTTGAAGATGATATTGCTTAACTGTTAAATGTTTAATAACTGGCTGTTATGAGCATGGTTGCCTGATGAATTATTATGCACCTGGCTGCCAGAATTTGGCACATTCTAAAAATTTGGGAAGTTCCACTAAGATGGTTGCAATAACATGTAAGTACCATGTTTTCATTATAACCATAACCACTAGAGATCTACTGTTTAAAATCATCACATTATCAAGCACATACGTTTAAATAACAATATCTAAAATTTCATTTCAGTTGGTTAAGCTGATAGGTTGCCAGGGGTTCATATATCAGGAAAGCTTTTTTATGACCACTTTGTGTGTGTGTATATACATAGGAAAAAACTAGCGATCAGGCAAATTGCAAAGGATAATTAGCCTTGAACAAGCATGATGTGAGACGACTCAGCCATATCATATACATGGCCAGCAAAACCAAACATTAGCTCAAATTACTACCCAGCTGAATCAGAGCAGCAGTCGTATAGTAGTCAGTAAACAGATCATGCAATGCATGCTTCACTGTATAGGCTTCGGGAGCCGTAGACTCATGACAGTACCATTGCTCAATGCATGCCATCAGGCTGCACGTCTTGCCTGGGCCAAAAAACACACAGAATGGAATTTATAGGACTTGAAATGAGTAGCATGCAGTGATGAGTCTTGATTCTGACTATTTAATGCTAAGGGAGGCTGAGAAATGGCATTGATCTCATGAAGTCACAGATCCTGCATGCCAAATTGGAATTGTGCAAAGTATGCTACCTCAGTCATGGTCTGGAGTGTTTTCTCTTGGCAGTATTTGTGATCTTCGGTACTTGTACCAAACTCAATGAGATTCGGTATGTAGAGTTGCTGGCCAATCACCTCCATCCATTAATACTGGGCCCACCAGTGGCCAAACGTTGTCGATGAACACTGGTAGCTCAGTCCGAAGTTTGAATCCCATGAACATGTATCTAGCTGCATGGGCGTTTTTGTAGTTTCTCCCTGTGTAATGCGTATACGAGCCAGTTTCCTTTACAAAGTCCTCCACAAAGGCATCCCTTTCTCCCCTTGGGCAGATAGCCCTCGAGGCTTTGCCGTAATCACATAAGCAAACCATTTATATTGTCTTCTCATTCACAAAGAAATGAAGTATTCCAACAAGATAACTGCACATCTCACAGGTCCCACTTGGCTATTGCCTGGTTGGATGATCATTCCTCTGACTTCTCTGTAATGAATTGACCACCTAGAAGTCCTGATTGAAATCCTATTGAGCCCCTTTGAGATGTTTTGGAGAAAGGTTTGAAAGCACATCACACAACACTAGGGACCTTTCCCAAATTATTTACTTGACCAGCTCTAACCAATGTTTGGCAAGTCATTCCCAAGGAACGCTTGTGCAAACTTGTTGAATACAATCAAAAGTCGTAAATTCTGACACCCATAATCCGGAATGATCTATAATCTGGACCTCAAAGCTACAAACTTTCTGCACATGCGTGGCATGCGTCAACGATGCATGCACGTAAGACCTTTATGGCTGCGAATATGCATGTGCGCATGCGCATAATATGTTTACGCTTGCGCGTTTAATGTATAACGGATGGTATAAGCTAAAATTATCTAATTCAGATAATGTTGCAGATTGCGTTGTTCCTTAATCTTCGAATTGGATCCGGCTTATTATTTTTTGCAGACTGTTAGAGCAATTTTATAAAAGTAAGCTTGAACTTTTGATTATGTCAAATAGAATTTCCGATATATATTTACTAACATGTAAAGGATCTACAAAGTGAAAGTATGTTTCGAAGTCCATTAAACAAAAAGTGGAATTGCTGCAAAAAATGGATAAAGGCATATCCTTCATTTCTCTAACCATTCTGAAATCTGTTTATCAATTTCATGCTGCTCTGGGGGGGGGCAATGAATCGGAAGTTAATCTGTCAGCACTATCCTTATCTTCAGGGCAGATGTTTTTATTTTATTTGGCTTATAATTCCTTACTAAATATAGTATTTCATCTCAATGCACTCCGTCTTTGATATGATTTAAATCAAATTCCTCGCCATTATCATTTGCTTCCGATACAGAAGAAAGTTACACAGAAGTTATTGAAAACGAAAAAATTTCGATTGACAAATTAGTCGGTATTCTCGACACAGCAATTATAGCACTTGAACAGCGGAACTTTGTAACTGAACAAAATTATGTCTGTTTATAGAATTAAAGAGAAATTATGTCTGTTTATAGAATTAAAGAGAAAGTATTATCACATTGAAAACGAAGCAACTTAAACAACTTACACTGAAAGAAATGTTTAATAAAGTAAACAAATAAATTTTTTTTTTTTTTTTTTTTTTTTTTTTTTTTTTTGTAAATTTTGATACCCTTTAGATCATAATTCTTCTTTATTTCATAAATTACCTGTTCATATTTTTAATTTTATAATTTCTGCATGCCATCTTACCAGATTTAAACTGATGATCTATAATCCGGAAAAATCAATAATCCGGAATCGCCGAAGTCCCGACGAGTCCGGATTAATGACTTTTGACTGTATATGCCTTGTTGTGTGGCGGCAGTTATCAAGGCTAGAGGAGGCCCAACTTGTTATTGACTTGCTATCCCTGATTCAGCAGCACTTCACTGTAAACGTATACATGTGTGGGTGGGTGTGTAATAATGATGACCTTGATATAATGAAAACAGACACTCATTGTAACAAAGCAAACTTAGCACTATTGATAGGATAGAATATTGATCCATTCTGAAAAGCTAACTTGGCAGCCAAAGCACAAATATTTATCTTTATTGCAGCTAACATTACTGGCCGCAATTCACTTGGCACTTTAATCATTCCTTTTCAAGAACATTTACATTTTGATACTGTTGTGACTGAGGCAGGATCTTATCGAGAACAGAGGTAGAAGCAAAGTGTGCAGTTACCCAGTATGGAAGCTTACCAAGAGAAAGGTTTCAATTCTCAAAATTTTAAGTTTCCAATTAACTACTTGATCAGTGTTATGTAAATCATTTTGATATGGATTGATCTAGAAATGATGCAGTCCAGAAATAGTTATTACTATTTTTAGAATAAAGAGGAAAAATACCTAAATCAAAAATGAGAAATTAAAGGACTATTACTAATTTAAATCATAACTTTGATAATACTCCTCCAAAACTGAGTCAAAGCATGAGATAGATATACTACGCTCTTTTGCCATAAATAATTTTTTCAAGAATTTATGTTTTTCATTTGATTTAGATGCAGCTGAATTAAATCAAAAGCAAATGGAAACATTTTTTAAAATTCTGTTACATAAAGAATCTGAATAATGCACAAAATTATTAAAAATAATTAACATTTTTTATGGTTTAAAATTTTAAATACTTTAATATTGAATTTTTACCTCAATCTAAAGCTTTAATATTTTTAACATCATTTGAATCATGGCAACAAGCCTAGCAATGGTAACAATGGGTATGACATAATAACAGTAAAGTATTTTTACTCACCCAGACGGCAAATAAAGTCCAGTACGAAAACTTCCAAATATTTCAACCTAAAAATTAAAAACAATTAACAAATTTTCCCCCATAGAATTCACAAATTACTGATTACTATTCATATAAATTGCAAATACATTTGAAAACTACATAATGCAAAATAACATCATACAGAATCTTTATACAGTTATGCATTAATGTCCATGTAGACATATACATTTAATAATAAAGTTATAACTGAATGTCTCTGTAATGAACAGAAATAATATGATAAATTTTTTTCACAACTTGTGCCAAGGTTCATTACTTATTATTTGATCACTGTTATTGTATTGGTCATTATTTTCTGATACTGGAAATAATAATACAGTACAAAGTCTGAAATCTGGATGTGCTACTAGCCTCTGCACCACTAATTTTTTTTTTTTTTTTTTTTTTTTTAAAGAAATTTTATTGTCAAATGGAAAAAAGAATTAGCTTCAGAAAATAGCATCTCGCTTTAGTATATGCCCAACACTTTCACGCATGCACACTTTTTTCCATAATAAAGTATGTAAAAGGCCTGATTTAGTTTCAGTTTGAGACTAAATAAAACCTCTTCGTGTTGAAGAAAAACAATGATTTTATAAGCTTAAATCTATACAATCAATAATCTGGTGGTTCTGTAGCCATCTTTTTGCTCGGCATAAATCACAGACTGAAACATTCTACTCACATTCATTGCTGATTTTACAGCTAATGAATAACTTATATCCCTGATGCTAACCTGCAATCATATTTTATTATGTAATTCATACAATTTTATTATGTAATTCATTCAATAATATCGAAAATTACACCATGGGTCATTTTTGACCCATCACATTTCAGGTGTATGCTACATTTTAACAATGTAAAAACAATAAATGAAGCTCGGTGGAATCAGTTTGAATTCGATGATTCTGTGTCTAGAAGACATGTCCAGGCAGACCTGGAATTACAACACCTGCGGGAGACCGTTATTTAGCTCTGGCCAAACCTTGGCCAGACTTCATTCAGGTGGTTGCAATAATAACTAGGTACCAATTTCTTGACCCTTTTTGCACTTTTTATGACTTTCTTTTACATAATATGTTATGCCAAGAATATTCTTCATTCAATAAAAACACAAATTTGGAAATTTGATGAATAAATTTGCAATAAACGCTGATAGCATGTTTAACAAATTTCATCACCTGTTTCTTTTTTGGATCCCCTTTCCAGAAATTTAGGGTTTCAACATGTCTATGCACTTCATACTGTTTGAAACTTATTAAATAGTAATTTTTTATATTTGACCACTTTTGTTTGTTTATGTTTGGCAAATATTTTAAACACAACAAATTTGCTTTTTTTTAGATTTAAAACTATAAATGTTAACTATTTTTTTAATAGCTTTCATGAAATAAGATGCCATTTTATAAAATATTCTAGAATTTTATTAAAACTGTTGTTCTTTTGAAAGCTTTGAATCATTGTTATGATGCTAATTGGAATAATCTGCATATCTACTTTTATTTGCTCAAACTTGACAAATGTAGTTGCCCTCCAGAATACTCTCTGAAATAAATATTTGAAACAACATACACTATTTCTGACTTATGCAGAAAGCCTAGATAGCTTATGCAGAAAGCCTAGCTGCCTAGATGCAGAAAATACCAACTAGCAGGGCACTAGAGCTTATAGTTTTTTATGAAATAAAATTAATGACAATTAGTAAAATTAATTAATGACAATTAATGACAATTGTAAATTAATGACAATTGAATTAGTAAAATTTAATGACAATTAAAAAATTATGCTGAAAGTACATTTTATATTAAAAGAAAATTTCATACCTTTGCTTGAGGCCACAATGAATGAACAATTTTAGTTATGTGCTCAACAACCTTTAACCTGATTTCTGTTTCTTGTTCTGTAGGACGCATTGTTTCAAAGAAATCACATATTTCTTCATGTAGGCTGTAAAATATAACTTTATGTATATAAGATAATATTTTATAATGAGACAGAACTTAAATCAGCATCCAATATTTCAATTAAAAGCCTTACAACTATAATGTCATTTTAACATGTATGTCTACATATGTATATATGTATATACTCAGAATTTGGGGGGAAAGCAAATTTCTTTTCTTACAGTGAATTTAATCATTTTACAGTTAACTATAATTTAAATGAATGTTAATAATTAATTAAATTTATATTACTTCTATCACATTATTTTTTAAAGTTGTTTTCATGTTTCTGTCGCTGAATTACAAACAATTAATACAGAAATTAAATGTTCTATTTACCATAGTAGCACAAAACCTATTTCTAGAACGCAAACCAACAAAAAGTAAATCAGCAATGAAATGATTATTTTTCATGGTTGCAAGTAGAATTAATATCCCAAGTCATCTATTCTGTTCCTCCTTACATCCCTCATTAACTGTGGCTAGTGGAAAATAATAAGATTTATTTGTCTGGTAATTTCAGTAGTTATGTGCTTTTATTTCTTCTTTCATAGCATTGGAAATAAAAAGAAGTAGTCAATAACAAGTCTTGAGTATTACTAATCAGTCTTGATCTTATATGAATGATATTTCTATTAAGTATTTTGTGCCCAAGGTGAGGATTCATCTTAGCTTTCCAAATACAGCAATTTTTTCCACTAGCCTGTTAATTTAAAACAGACATTTCAAGCTCACTCTTTCCTCCTGGTTTGTCTTTTAGCCACAGTACAATTGCTGTAGAAGATGCTTAAGGTCTCTAACTAACTAGAAAATCTACTAATTATTGTAAGGTGGCGAAAACACAATACAATTATAAAGTACAGGAGGGTCAGAATGATCCTAAAGGGACTATTTTAAAATAACAATCTAGAGTTCAGTCATATCAAGCTTAATTACATTTTATTTTGAGTCTTCAAACATTGTCAAGACTAGATATTATGCTTAATGCTTTATTGGTTCTTCTTAATTACCTGCAACACCCCCTGAAAAGTATTCACAATACAAAGAACTATATTGCTATGAAATTTGTACCCAAAGCCAAGTTTTTATTTAAGCATAAACAGCACAAAACATACATAGGGCTTTCTTGTAAAACGTAAGTGTGTTATTACTGATATTTCTTGCATTATTTTAATTAACCCAAAGGGCATTAGCTCAGAAGGGCTATTAATTTCTTTTTGGCATTTTGCGCTGGTTCACTATAAATGTTGGTTCACTTTTCAAACTGTTGCCATAAAATACTAGAGCCTGCATTATATTTAAAGAAATTAAATAATGAAGAATCTGCATGAATGTAAGTATGTTTCTCACGCTACGAAAAAAAACAACAGTACCTAGAGACATCAAATTTTCAATAAATTGTCCTCTACTAGAATATGGGCATCTGGATGCCCGAACTTGGAATTTGGCATTTGTTTTATTATCTATTTCGTATTTTGTAAAACTTTAACGAATTTTTGATTAATAAACTCAACAATTTCAAAGTGAGCAATGGTAACACTATACAGGGGAGGGACATTTTTATCTCCAGTGCGCAAGACTGTGTATCGTAAATTCTAAAGATATGCCCATTTTAAAATTATTCTGTGATATTGCTCTTGAAATGAATTTTATGTTCTAAGTGCAAAACATGATATTTAATAAATAGAGGTAACGCACAAAACGTTTAAAAAAATGTACCTTTGGGCATAGTATAAAATCTAAAAACTTTCAGATTTTTATTTATTTATTTTTTTTTTTTTTTTTTTTTTTTTTTTTTTTACTAATTCACAGTTCTTTTATGGAATTCTTAGCATGCCACCATCTTCAAAATGACTGTTGCCTTTGTAGTCTTGACTATCGGTATTCAAACTGAATTATAATTTGCACTTATGAATAGCTAAGTTTATCGCTTTTATTTTTTAGCTAAAACAAGGAGCTGCTACTTCAGATACAATAACAATAGAATCAAAATTTGAAAAACAAAATAATCACAAATAGCTACTTGTTGCCATTCAGCATAAAAGAAATATAAATATGAATATTAAGAAAATGTTAATTTTACGAAATATTTAAATACGTGCAAAAATATAAAATATTTGAAATTAAAAATAATTACTCATGCAATAATTGGGCCACTACACTACTCCAAAACCTGTAACTAAGTTAAGGTACAAAAAATGGAGAAACAGGAAGTGACTAGCATTGCAGTGTTAACCGTCAGAAGAATTTAGATATAATACTTGAATTTGACTGGTAAACCTATAGTTCTAATTGTGCAAGAATGTTTCTGATCCACTTATAAATTTCAGCCCAGTCTCCACAATTTGTTGTGGTCAGATTTTGAAAACTGAGAATTCTCTCAAACTGAAATATAAAGTGGTTTCAAGCAATTGAGTGAAACACTGACATGTTTTCCTTTTATGCTAACAGTAAAATATTTATCTTTGCAATCAATAATAGGAAATTGTCCTTCATAAGGAGGTTCAAAGGTTTTCTTCACCAGATGAAACACATGAGAACAATTTTTATGTACAAGTATCTGTTCAAATTATTTTTTACGAATCTGTCTGGGTCCAATGACTTTCATCTGTTTATGGAGATTATTATCAAAAGTTTCTCATGCTGTCTGAATACTTGGTTTGCTGAAAAACTCTCCAGAAAATCTAAGACTGACCATAAACTTCTTGTGCAATACAATGATTTGTATCTTCTTGAATAGCAGAACGCAAACACAAAAGTACTGTTTGTAATGTGTCAGTCCAAGACAGGTTGTTGTGAGCTTTAAACACTGTTTTTAATGTTCTATGAAGGTACTTAACTTTGCCATTACATAAAGGGTGGTAGGCTATAGTATCTTGCAAACTGATGCCACAGATTTTGGAAAAAACTCGTAATGTGTCAAATTTAAATTGAGACCGAAGATCGTTAATGATTTTGGCATTCCAAAATGCACAATCCAGTTGCTGTAAAAAGCCTTTGCAACAGTATCAGCTGAAGTATTATCTAAAGGAACTGCTTCCATCCAATTCGAAAATCTGTGAATGTATATAAGACAGTAAATATTTCCTTTTGATGGAGGAAGTGGTTCTATGAGATTGATATGGATTACAGAAAATCTTCCTGGTGGTACTTCAAACTCACCTAATTTTGTTTTAATATGACGGCTGATTTTAGTTCTATGCAGGGCCGGATAAAGGGCGATTGGGCCCAATCGAGCCCCGCATTTGAAAGAGCCCCGTGTTACCATCAAAATGAACCAAAAAAAAAATTTCGAAATTTAAAGCAAATTGCTTTTGACGATAATGGATAAATTATGAATTATTCAAATAATTAAAAATATATTTATTTTAAGTTTGCATTATTGGATGATATTTATTAATGTGTTTATTATTATATAATATATAAAACTGATACCCGTAAAAGCTCATGTCAAATGTATTGAATTTAATCGGGATTGTCCTATATTAGAGATTTTGCACTACGTACATGAACTACTTTACGTACGTAAACTACTATAAAGGTATGTGCACGTGCAACTAGTTGCACAACCGTACCAGCCAGTGGTGGATGTATAGCTAGTATCAAATGTCAATTGTTTCTTGCATTTGTAGTTTTATATTCAATAAATGTTTTTGTATTTTGAACATTTTTATTTTTTTAATTTATGTAGAAGTTTACCTGTCTGATGATCCATGACATTTGATATATTTATAGTATATACTGAATTTTATTTAGCTATTTAATATAGAGAGAGGGATCCGCAAAAAAAAAATTTAATCGGGCCCCGCACCTTTTCGATCCGGTACTGGTTCTGTGGCAAGGAATGCAGATTTGCATCTACAATTGTATATCTTGTTAGGTTGAATGAATTTTGATGTTGTTAGTTTTATAGTTGACTTCTGAAGCATCTGTAAATAATGCCAGAGGTAGTCCAGAATTTGAATATGACAACAATGCAGTGTTTACGAGATCATTCCTGCACATTTCCAACTGTTTTTCACCTTCTTCAGTCCATTGAATTTTACGTTTGTCCCTCTTTTTAGCTCCCTTAAGATATTCATATAACAATGCTTGATTCTTTGCTGCATCTTTTAAGGTGACTATAAAAGTTATGTTTTCCAAGAAAAGTTCTAAGTTCATAAATTGCTTCTGGTCATTTGTAATCAAAAATAGCTTGGGGAGTCCTGAGATGTAATTAGGTATACTAAAAACTCAATTTGTTGAACAGAAAACATAGATTTTGAAATATTTATTCTTAAACCAAAGATATTTGATCTTTCAAAAACTAACTTAAGGTGGTTTTCATATTCTTCATGAGTACTGGATGTGATAGGATCTAAGAGTACTGGATACGACAAGGAGTGAAGATAGCTGTTTTACATTTGCCTTCTTTTCCAATAAGAATTTGAAAATACGTGGTACTCTTCTGTTATCAGGACCAGATTCAGAAATGTATGGATCTGTTCATATATGCATGTATATAAGTACATACGTGCATATGTAAGTTATATGCATATATTATGTGTGTATACACACATATACACAGATACACATGAATGTACATGCATACATTTCTGAATCTGGTCCTGATCACAGAAGAGTAGGAAATAAGCTTTGAATAAATCAGTTTTAAAGAAAATATTTGTGCCTTTTAAAATATGATGAAAATCTTCAATCCGAAGAAGTGGGTAACAATCAGGTATCATCTGCGCATTAAATCGACAGTGATCCCACAAAGCCAATATGAACTATCCCCTTTCATTATAATAGGCAAGAGGCTCACTGGGAATTTGATGGACAAATTATTTCACTGTCAAGCATAAAATTATATTCCTCTTTAGCTGTCACTAAATGTTTTGGATCGAACTGTCATGTCTTTGAATAAATGGATTGACCATCATTTACGATAAAATGTGTTAACACCATGTTTGTGTAGAAAAAAGGTTAGATTTAGAAATTTCTGGATATTTCAACAGTAAAATG